TAAAGTATAATAACAGTTTTCAGTAACTCTATTTTAGTCTATTTATTAGAAATATCACACAGTGAAACAGTAGCATTCATTGGATAACGTTTCGGACACAATTTATTGTCCATATTCATATCAGGTAACTACACAACTTTGAAACAGACTTTATATATTCCTAATTTTCTCTCCTTCTCTATGATGATAAAGGTAGTAGAATTTTCTATATTATCTCGGACAAGTGCAGAATCATTTCGATTGTATGTGTTTGGTGTTCTTTTTAATAACTGTTAAAAATTCTTATTGTTTTCAATTAGATCTCATCAGGCTTCACTCTAATATACATAACTTTCAACCAATCAAGGTAAGCTACGGGACAACAATAAGGAATACGGATTGTAGAAAGGTTAATACGAATGTTCATAAGGATGCGGCTAAAAGTTATCCCCAGATGTTATAACATTCTGTCTGAAAAAATGTATATACTGTGTGTTATGTATGCATATATTCTGAAGTGAAAACTGTAATCATAAATCCTTTTGAATGTAATTTGAAGCCTCAACTTACTCATTGTGATGTGTGAGTATCGTTCATTCTGAATAATTGTACTTTCTTTCCGCCTTAGAAACGCAAGTGTAGCCAATACTTTTCACATGAATAAATGGTTTAAAACATGTTTCAGTGACAGGCGGCATTGTAAAAACTAAGCAGTTCAGTAAAATACTTATAGAGAACACAGAAAATAATGATGGATCGTGGGCTAGCAATTAGAATGCAGGCAATATCAAGGCATCCGCACAGGAGCCCATATGCTAATAGAGACTGATCAATTCAGTCCAAGCAACAACGGTATCATATAAAAACAATTACACAAACACAGAAAATGTTTGTATTCTTACAAACAATCGTACAACCTATCGCGAAGACGATAAGACTTGGAGATAACTTTTAGCCTCACCCTGTTCTTAATGACACGACAATTTAAAAGGGTGTTCATACAGATAGACAGGCAATGTAGGTCAAAGGGTAAAAAAACAAAAAAAGATAATAAGGTTGTGTGATACTGGAGGTTGAAGGCGGTAAATAAATAAGAGTTGAATGTGAATATAGTAGTAATTTGAAAGGGGTGACGAAATGAAATAAAATAAAAAGGAGAAGTACATTTTAAGATTCATAAGTAAAGTCATTCATTAAGTTCTCCCTGGCCAAGGCAGGGATAAAGGCTGTACAAATTTCTTCTGGATACAGAGGTGTGGATTGTTTACTCAAATTCCTATAGTCTCAGCTATGTGTAAAAGGTGGACTCGAACTCCATCGGAAAGGTTCACTGATATGCGGTAAATCACTTTGACCACTTTCATCTTATCTACTCTGTGATCAGTATCAACTAGATGCAACAAAATAGAGCTTCTTATAGATTTATGTTAATGATGGATTATGGCTAGCAGTGGAATTCAAAATGCGCATTTCGTCCTATTTGGGACTCGTCAGCTGGGCGTACCTGCATCTCGGTGGGAACAACACCACTCACTGGGAAGCAGGTACATCCAGCTGACGAGTCCCAAATAGGACGAAATGGGCATCCTGGATTCCACTGCTAGCCATGATCCATCATTAACATAATTAGAACGCTGTCAATATCGAGGCATCCGCACAGGAGACCATATGCTGATTCGGTCCAATCAACGACGGTATCATATAAAAACAATTATACTTATCCTATAATTATCCTATCCTTTAGCCAACCACGAAGGTAGATGTTCAGCAATACGTTGGTTAAGTTGCCTAGTCGTACGCCCAATATAACTGTCTCCACAGGAGTAATTAAACTGGTAAATATACATGGAAGTGGCAAAACTAGCTAACTTCGTTTGACACAATCCATATTCCTTATTGTTGTTATTGTCCCACAAATTACCTTGATTGATTGATATTTTATAAATACATTGGAAGTTATGTATATTAGAGTGAAGCCTGATGAGATTTAATTGTTCGCTTACATGTCTTGTTATAGTTTTCAATAAGAAAATTCCTATGAAATATACTGTGATATGATATTAGGTCGCAGTTCTTCTATATCATGTGATATTTTTTTGTCATAAAGCTTTTATTACAACGATTAACTTTATATTGAAATTTCCTGAATTAGTAATTACAAAGGTTAGTGTTTTTTATAACTAGGAATTCCGAGGATAATATATATTTCTGTATATAGTATTGTGAAAAAGCTTCAGTACTCCAAAATATCTACATCGACTCATAATCCAAAATTAGTTTTCTTTTCTCCCTTACTTAGCCATGAAGGGTGATGCTCGGTGATTCGACGACGGACTTGTCTAACTGTACGTCCAATGTAACTAGCTCCACAGGAGCAGTTGAACTGGTTAATGTATATAGAAGAGGAGAAGTCAAGGTGTCTGTCTTTAGTTCATGTGGTCATCATGGCTAAGTAAGGGCGAAACCAGACCGATACGAAGCTCATTACTCTCTCAACATTAGTTTTAAATTTAAGAATATACGTGGAAACGAAGTGGTCAAAAGTGTTTGGAAAAAAAACAACAATGAAAATGATTGAAGAAAAAGTTACACAATAGTAGTCAACAATCGATATATTAAGAAATTTTAGATTTATTTTAAAGATTAATATCATTGCCCCACTTCACAATGTTAGCTGAAGTAGATTTAGGCTGAAGAAAAGTTAGAGGCAGCCAAGACTAAAACATGACATCTCTCCATTATGCCTTTAACTGTTGGTCTGATGTGTGTAGGTAAATGTAGATATCCCGACTGGGTCCACGTGATCCCATAAATCAGTGGTTAGGATCGATTTCAGTGATGTAGATGTATTCATACATTATCTTCGTTTCAACTGTCACAATGAATTTCATCATTGTTCCATTCCTCCTTTGATGACCTTCTACCACTTTGACTACTTTATTCTTTGTGGCCTACTTGGTGGCTAGTAAAAGAATCCAGAAGGCACGTTTCTTCCTATTTTGAACTCGTCAACTAGATGTATCTGCAGCACATTGAGTGATTTTACTCCCACTGAGACTCGGACCCAGTACTCATCGCTTCCAACTCCAAACTGTTATCTGCTAGGCCACTCGGGCACGAGAGCCACCACCTGTGTTGTTGTTCACCAATACTTGTAACTTCTCGTAGCTATACTCGGTCAAAATACTCAACCTTTATCCTTTATTTATTCACCTTTTATCATGGTGCATTCTCACTTGATATGCTGGTATGAGGTGTGGCAACTTAGAGTGCTACGCAAAGACGTCAGCTCACAAGTTGTCTGCTTGTCTGACTTCGATAATAAGAGTATATTTTAAGTTGCTTTTCATCATGGACTGACATCAGTTGGAGGAACAACGGAAACCTGGGAGCAGTGGATGGCTGTATGGGACTTCTCAGCAGTGCGCACCCACGACCCAACCCTTCAAGGATCGAACCTATGGCCTTCAGGTTCCCCGGCCAGTACGTTACCATTGACACTGAGTGATGGTCGCACTATGCCATGAACTGACAGAAGTTGGAAATATAAACCACCGGATTCCGACTCATTGGATCAATGGTAACGTGCTAGCCACGGAACCTGAAGGTGGTGGATTCGACCCCTGGAGGGCGGGGTCGTAGGTGCGCACTGTTGAAGAGTCCCATACTAGGACAAAATAGCGTTCTAGTGCTCCTATGCTCTTAATGTTCCTCCAACTGATATCAGTCCACGATGAAAACCAACTTAAAATATCTCTAAATCCCCACAAACCCCCAAATTCAAAAGTATATGATCATTTTCTTATTCCAAGTTTTAGACCTGAAAGCATGGTGTACAATCGGGCATTTTTAATTACTGCTTGATATGCGCTCTGGCTTTTTTTCATTGTTGAGAAAAGAAGTTCTGAATCAGTGGTCCAGGTGCCCGACCATTCAATACTGAATTATGGGTTCAGACTCTGTTTAGTAATGTTTGAGCATTATATTGCAGAAAATTTCATATGAGTATAAAGTTTACATAAAATCAGAAATGACAACTTATCTGCCAGTAGGTAGATCTTTTCTAAACATCTAAAATTTGTGCACAATGTAAACTGTATTTCGGTGTGAATTTCTTATTTTTCACTGCCCTAATTGAATTTATTCTCATACAATGATGATAATATTAAACGCTTTACAATTTTTTTCCGGATTGAATGACTCCTAGTGATACTAGACACACAGAAAATATCAAAATGGGACCTGGTATTACTAAGCGTAATGTTCCAAGTTGCTTCACTTTACATCAGCAAATCAAGTGAGGATGGATCAAGATGCAACATAAAGAAGGAACGAAGAAAGCAATCAAAAGTGGTAGAAATTCATAAAAAGACAGCAAGGGAAAATGAGTGAATAATAAAATCTGGCAAGATGATTAACAAGGAGATATTATGTGGATACATCTGCACCACTGAAATCAAGCCATATCATCTAAAGTCTCCAACTGCTGGTTTCTGTTGTCATGCAGATCCCAATCGGGAAGTGCATATTCCTCTTCATGCCTCAGATCAATAGTTAGAGACTTCGTGGAATGACGGCATGTTTTAGTCTGGCCGCCTCTAACTTTTCTTTAGTCTAAACCTACTTCAGCTAACATTGCGCGACGAAGCAGATGGTGACTAGGCATCAGTAACACATGTTCCCAGCCAACTCAGTCGATGAAGATTCAACATCTCATCAACTGACTTTCCTCTTCTCTCTAAAACGCTGCATCTGACTTCTAAGTTACCGACATGATGATATGACGACAGAAGAACTACAGTGCGAAAACAACGGTGGTTTAACACATAAAGCCTTTTCATGTCCTCTATTCTTAATGGCCATGTTTGACAGCCATACATTGATCGAAGTAATGTTTATCGCAACAATATTTAAAGCATCTAAAAGCAAAAATATCCCTAAACTGTACAATAAATGTGAGAATGAGACCTGGAAAAAAAAATAAAATGTTTTTTATGACTTTAAAAATAAAAATCACTCACTTATCAACTAAACGCTGATTACTGTTTTCGGTATCATTTGAAGAGGGAAACTGAATACATGCAGCACCAGATGCGATACGTCCACGAATTAAGCGTGCACATTCAGTCAACTGATTTACTAAATGATACCGATTAAATGGTCTTATGACTTGACGTGTTAAATTAGATGTGTACGCAAGTTCCAGAATTAATTCAGCATATGATTGAGAGAAATTCAATGGTGGCTTTTTGAAAGACAAAATATTGTTAACAAATAGTAAAAAGGTTTTGAAAAGTTACCAGTACGTAACAATAAGACATTTACATATTATATAAGATGTTCAAGAAAATGAATGCAGAAATTTGTCCGTTAATCAGAACATAATGAAATAAGTGCATATAGTGGTTTCGCCACCAAAATAATGGGATACAAAAAAGGGTAGACGATCCAACTCGTCCCCTATAAACGTTTTCATAAGTTTATACTACCTACAAAAGAATATCTACTCACTTTCTTTACGTGATAGACATGTTTTCAAAAAAGTCAGGGAATAAAAGCGAGTGTTGAGTTTTTCCACTGGATCGATTGATATGGACAGTCAACCAGGGAGAGTAGGAAAACCTCTCTCCCACAAATCAATGGTACATATGCTTTTCTGAATCAAGAATAGACGTATGACGTAAAAAAAATACTTAGGTCTTTGACAACCACAGAAATGCGGTACCTGAAATTGTTTTGCTGCTTCGCGGATCGGAAATCAAGTTCACGACTTGGGAAGCCATTTGCTAAAATAATCAGTAGATCCCGTTGGGGCAGTCGGGCAATACCTTAACCCTCACACGACCTACGAAACAACATTGTAATGAAGACTTCAAAACTTAGGCCTGAATCACCACTTACCATAGCCTTAAAATATGATCAAAATTATTAATACTGTTTTAATGATATTGTTGTTGCTATACTTTTACACAAACTGTATTGTTCCACTTTATCACCCCTAAATTATCCTTCACTCAACTGCCCAGAACTTTCAAATTACAGTCTGTCGGTAATGCTTAGAGTGGCTATCACAAAGCTTTTATTCAACGTAATATCTGGTTTAACTATTCTGAAAGCATGCGTATCGCTTAAGCTGGCGACCTCCAGCGTTCGAACCATAATGTAGATCAAACCATAAACCACCCTAGTAAAACCGTAGAAAGACTCAACATTAATGTATTCCGTATCTCAATATGTGCGTAATCCAGACCAAGATAGCACCGTCAACTGGCCTTGTAAATTTCTCACTAACTGCTAGAGCTAAGGACGCACCAGTCTACCGGATTTCCATCACTTGTCGTGAGTATGCTTTTAGGCTGGCAGAATTAGTTAGAGTAGGAAGTAACTGGATAAGGAAAAACATTTTTCGTTGTGATCACGCCTATGCTCCCAAAGACTGCAGTCAAGATGCAACTAAGGTTAGGTACTATCATCAATTGAGTCTCTTCAACCAATGGTGCTTGGCAGATACAGTAGTGCTAGCTAGGGATATGAATGGACAGGCAACGCGTCTAGGCTGGGAGAATACTTAAGTGGCCAATGGAGACTAGCCGGTAGCAGATCAGATAGTGGAGGTCGTCTTCTTTAGCTTAAGTTCAAATCATAACCTATTACTAGCCAGCAACAACTTCCTGGATACTCATCGTCATTGTGCCACCACTTAGGGTCCTCCCCCCACCACTCAAACCTGGACCAAAACCGATCGCACCGCAGGTAACTACTGATAGCACTGGTGCATTCAGAACTACGTGTTCTACTGAAGGACTTGAAAGTAAGGGCTGCGTTTTTTTCTCGCTTAGCCACAAAAATTGTTATCTTAAATAGGCCGACGTAAGGAGATTGGTTGCATCCAGTACTGCAACTACATACCAAACCAAACTAGATTCAAGACTATATTTGAACTTTAGCTAATAAAAAATGAGTCTCAGAAATTTTCGGGGGACAGCTAGTACAGTGTAGTGTCTAAGTACAAGATTAGTCATACCGTGTTTACGTTAGTACTGAGAAACTTGGTTGTCATAAGGTATTGGTGCAGTAAAAACACTAGCAATATCTGTCAACAGTCATGAAGTGTTTCAGCCTATCTTAGCCACCAGTAACAAGAAACCTCGATCCAGTGAGAGAGTCTATGAGTATATGATATACGTAGCGACAATCTTGAAAGACACCTGAAATGTTGGCAGGAGCAACTGGAACAGCAATTTAGCTGATCAATCATCCAGATAACTTCAAACGTAGTTTACCGTCTTACATGGTCAGTTAGTACTGGTCCACTAAGTGAAGCTACTGTTTACAAGAACTATAAGTAGTAAATCACTAAAAGGTGCCCAGTCCAAACAACTTACTCATAAGTCTTTTTAAGGAAAGACACTAAACTGTAATCAGGGGACTGATTGTATTTTTCGAGAGTATAAATAAATACAAAAAACATGAATTGTTATATTTATCGGTCAAGTATCTATGCAATATCTCTTACAACCATCGAGATACCAATCTGCTACTATCGGCTAGAATAGTAGCTGGTGTCATACTTCAAAAGTTGTACGAAAATCTTTGTTTCTTTACATTAGAGTTAACTTTGATTGGTTGGATTGAACTATGTTATGTAATGGTTTTCTAGAAACGAGTGTCCATAAGAAGCTGACCAACATTTTAAAAGCCTTACACAAAAACAACACAGGCTGAGTGAAGCCAAATATCCTAGTTTCTCACTGTTCCAAAACAGCAGTACAGTTAAACAGGCCTGCAAAATCGGGCCATTCCTCTCTTAATTTACCAACGGAAACATTCTTCAGAGCGATTCCGCAAATCTTGACAATACCGTCTTATCGTGCAACAACATATAGAGGCTAATCACATCACACTTAACCAGTTGGCAATCAGTATCTGCAAGTATGGCATGTATTTTTCATCAGTAAAATGTATGGCGCTTACAAGACTAACAGAGGCTTATGCCTGTAGTCGCTACCGCAAGTGAACTGTGAGAAGCAGTCATATAGTCCATAGCCGTATGAGTGAGGATGGAGTGAAAGTTTGATTGATGAGATCCATAGCCATCTATCGAAAGCTAAAACGACACACACTAATTAGCCTAACTGTAAAGCAGTGGGTGTTCAGTTAGAAGATTTGGGAAGTTGTGCTCTACACAAGTGAAACCTGGTTTTTCCCAGCTGAAGACGTCTGAATCAGCATTTCTGATAAACATCATCACTGAACGACTGCTCACAAACAGTGCAATCCTCACGCAAATGATTCTAGTGTGTGGTGAAACATAATGCAGCCCATCATAAATTGAGCGTATTCAATTTGAACTAGTAGCCTAGGCTGTCGAAACATGTCACGATTGTCATCGGTGCGGCTTCCATACTAATTGCTGTTTCCACATCTAGAACTGGTTGGAAGAAGCGGATAAGCAGTATCTGAACTTAATATGAAGTATGAAGACGTATTAACATACGTTATTTTTAGCTTTGCTTGCTTGTGACCATGCATCAGTATACTGATGAACTGATATGGATAACAAAGGATTTGTTCACTATCTGACTACCGACTCTCAGCCTCCTCTTTTAACTGAATTTAAGATGCAAGGTGTCGAGAAGATAATTATCTAAGCCTCAAATAGTTGCCACCACTAATTTACCTATACACTGATTTTAATCCGGTATTTTCCTACAATTAAGTGTCGTTATTCACTAGTCCCAGTGTATCGCATCTATTTTCCCTGTTTTTACAAAGCGTTTTGGTGATTCTTAGGATATTTATGTCTCTTTGTAAATGCCTAAGTACTTTTATTGAGATTTTTAATGATAACAAAGCGAAAATGTCATTCAACAGTTTGTGAGATGAATCTATCCGAATACAAAGCATACCAACATGACAGTGCATGTTTTGTGGTTCTCCTTTGGTTTGTGACAAGTAATCTTGAAGCCTACCAGAGAAACATAACTTGGTGAAGGTCAAAACAAGTTTTGAAATGCAGGAAATTTAGGACAAACTCATCAAGGAATCAATACATACAACTTTAATTTTAGCAGTTTTTCTTCTTTTGCTAAAGGAAGCAAGACGAGCAAAGGGATTGAAGAACTTGGACTGGTGTAGAGATGGTTTCCGCTTGACGCTGGAATCTTTGGGATGCATGACAGTTTGACTGTTACTTCCATTTAAAACCAATTTGGAAAATTTTTGCACCAAATAGCTGGTTTTTGGTTCCGCTGAATTCGCACGACGACGATGTGGGATTTCTGAAATGACATAAAAGCATCAATAAAAACATGTCACTTAACAGGTTACAATAACAAGAAGAACAGCATATTCTTGATATGCTGATCACTTCAGACTAAATTGTCATGTGAATCAAAAGGTCGGAATATATTGGCCATATCAACTAATTAACAAAGATGCATTTATAATATTCTTATATACTACGTATGCGCAAATAAAATGTTTCTGTGAGCTAAAACCAGGTTAAAATCACAATAATGAATAAAACGGCACACAAAGAATAAGCCAAGCATCTTAAAAAAAGTACAGACGCCGGTAGTAAATTAGATAAACGTCTGAATAATAAATGAATCAAGACTTTTGTTTATGAATTTTGATATTTGACTATGAATGACTTATAACCATAGCAGGAGGTAATCAGCAATGAATCTGCTGCACGACGACTTAAATCTAACCTGCGTAAGTGTTATTTTTATTTTCTGATAATTAACAGTTCAAGTTACGCTTTTATTATTTGCGCATAAATCGGGTAGACTTTTAGCATTGTGTTGAAGAAACATGTTTTGTTTTCTACCACACGGGGAATTAATACTCTCACATCAGAATAGATACTTTTGATTCTGTAACTTAAGTTTCTATATAGCATTCCTCAGATTTCAGTCAAATACTTAAAATTGGCTTAAAAGCAGCAAAAAAACGAAAATTTACATGAGTAGTAACAAGTCTCAAGACTAACCTACTTAAGGTTCCACTTTTGAATGTCTCGCGAAATCTCATAGCATGAACAGATCTACTATGTTCTATGCAGTACAGCATAATATTAGTAAACCTCAAGTGCCATTCATTCCAGCTGGTCTCAACAGCGTTATGCTGCCATAAAGCTGTTGAGACCAAGTTAAAATGTTAACAAGCCACAGCCCTTTTTAGGATTCACACAATACACAGAACTGTATGTTATGAAACTATTCCAGTTTTCATCACTTAATTCCAATTGAACAAAATAGAAACGTGAAGTGACCGTTAACACTCGAAATGCATCCTCGAACTTCATCGACATTGAAATCTGCGACCAAAATCAACACTACCACACTGTTTGAATTGCTAATAATTAAACACTAGCAAACAAAACGGGACCAAACCCACCAGAATTAATTGTTGCCATTTTTCACGCATATTGAAAACATAACGCAGTACTTGAAAGACGCGCTGCGACCTACACCACCCAACAACAATAGTCTTCCAATATCCAATGTCTTTTTACTACCTAGTGTACACCAATTGATTTCTTCGTGCTCCCTTCTAGGTCCTGCGGAACGGTTCCAGGTCTTAGGTGGATTCTGATGCAGTAGGTCTACCCATTCAACTGCTGTAGCTCTGGTTAGCCCGATGGGCGTTTGGGTGTTAGTTAAATTTGTAGGGAGTATGTGTCGTGTTTTTTCCAAGGACTGTGGTGAAGATGGGTTCCTCAAGTGTCGTGCCAGTAGACAATTGGTCGGACCGGTTGTAAAAAGGAGACGGAAAATATGTCCAGGGAAGTCAAGGGAGAGAAAGTGTGAAGAAAAATAAACAATCGAAAAAAACGATTAGGTACGGAGGAAACATCAGTAGATCCATAGGAGAGAGGTGATGGGGAGAGCCTTTTTTGAAGTGTGAGAACGCAGGGCCGGTGGGAACGGAAGGAGAAATAACACCATAGGACGGCTTATGGGAATAAAGACCGTAATTGTAACTGGAGGGGACGTCTACGGGAATGTATAGGGTTAAACCGAGTTGGCAGTGGTAGTGGCGTCACAACGTATTCGATAATAGGTCGGCCTTACTGAGTTAGTAGGTCGTGTCAGCCCAGTCCATATTCCAGCCGGATGAGCGCAAGCCATGAGTCGCTGCGTAACTGTCCAAACTCTTCTTGAAGCTGTCAACAGACGGAGCAGTAGCAATCTCCGTAGGCAATGCGTTCTAGTGACCGCAAACTAGTAGAGAGGAGTGTGAACGAGCACAGGTTTTCGCCCTTCGGTGGGCGATTCTCCTTGGGTTACCACGAGGATCTCCACAGTGGCCGTTCTGTAGGATTCCACTGTTCGAATGACTTGGGTTACTTAGTATTTTGTAGCCATTATCAAGTCGCCAGATGATCTACGGTAGCTTAGAGAGTAGATTCCTGGAACCTTCACCCTGTCCTCACAAGGTTTTCGCCTCATTCTCACGACAGTCCTTGTTGTTCACCTTTGGACTTTCTCCAGGGGGTTCACACCCCCTTTTCAGATATGGTGGTGCAGTGGCGTTGTGGACCTCTAAGTGGGGTCGTATCTAGGTCTTGTACAGCCTCACAAAGAGTTCTGGGGTCAGGGCATCCGATTGTCTGCGCGGGAAGTGCAGTACTGGGGCTCCGGATAATTGGAGCTAGTGTCTGGCTTGTCAGTCAGTATTAGCCCCAGGTCTTTCTCCGTGGTGGTGTGGGAACGTTGTGTTCCACAGAGAGAACAAGGCACCTTCTGAGAGTTGCGGGTGCAGGGAAACATGGCTCGGCACTTGTCCAGATTAAATGCTAGTCCCTTACTATCCACCCGCCTTGCAAGTAATCTGAGATCACTCTGCAGTGGGCTTGATTCTGTTTCGGACGTCGAAGCTCTTCATAACTTAACACCATCAGCGTGGAGTAGGATTGGGGAGCTGAGATTCAGTGGGGGGTTGCTTACCAATGGAAGGAATAGTGGCGGACCCAGAATCACTCCATGTGCGACACCAGATGGTGATGTCCTCCAAGTCGAGCGAACTCTGCTGGCTGTTGAGCGGAATTGCCTGCTGTCTGAATAGTCCTGTAGCCAGCGAAGCGCTTGACCCTTGATGCCCAACCTCGATATTCTGTGAATGAAACTGGTGTGCGGAACTGTGCCAAAGGCCTCAGCAAAATCCGGGAAAATGACACGAACAGGAATTCAGAGGTCCCAGCGTGCCGCCCACTTATCACCGGCTGCCACGGTGTTTGAGGCACAGGACCCACCCCTTCTGAAACCATGTTGAGCGTCACTAAGTGTTCCCTCTTTTCCAAGTACCCTCTGACATGGCCGTCTACCGTGCTTCTCATCACTTTTGACACCACTGGTAGAAGGGCCATGGGTCGACAGCATTTCGGATTCTCCCTGTCTCCGCCTTTGAAAATGGTGGATAGAGTAGCACGTTTCTACTCTCGTGGAAGCAACCAGAAATGTCGGTATAAAATCTCATATGCATCCAAACATGCAAGTTCTTTCAATCCTTGCAACCACTTACCCTGAAGCGAAGCTACCCGAGGTTGACCTCGTGTGACGCATCGACCTTGAAGTCTTACTGAGTGATTAGATAGCGAAACCCCTTATATTCTTCACCATAATATGACAACAGCAGCTCGATAGAAATGCATCCGTGGATTTATTTATTCAGAGGACTCCGTTTACAACATTATTGACTTGAACGATTGCTACGCTGCATGACACCATACAATGCCAGATCGAAATTTGCGGCACCATCCATTTCACTTTCGTTTGCCAACTGTAGATAGTACAAACTTATTGATAAATACAGACATCTCCGGATTCATTTGTTTCCAACATTCGATAAGCAATATACTCTTATAGATTTCATGGCTCACTATTGCCTTTGATACTGAGTGATTATACCCTCACTAATTTTCACGGCTATTGTTTAACGGTGTCACTCCTATCCAATATTTGTGACAAGCAATATCTCAACAATTGTTTACTGGAAAAGACTTTGTGTGGCACAATGATATGTTTTTTTCTGAACTTTTACAGCTTCAGTGCAGAAACAACATTTAGATATTGCCCGTAAAAATGGTATGTATTCCTACAGTTCATTATTTGAAATATATTATTATTACCATTGTATTCTCATGCAGTCCAGCCTGCTTGATAGGGCTGAGTGGGTTCCGGTCGAACCTTCGGCTTGCGGTTCCCCTGTCCTGCCCGAGATTGGGGGTTGGAGCATTAAAACCGCCGGCTTTAATGACCTGCTTATATCCCATGGATGTCGCTCCGGACATTACCTGCAGCATCTGCCGGTTATGCTCCACGTTGCTAGTAGGAGTTCTGTGGAAGCCCCCTACCAGGTACTTGGTGTGTCCAACCGTAAAGTGACACCAGATGGAGTCTGGGGGCCCCAAAGGAATAGTTTTGGTGGCTGGTTCACTTTTAGGACGGTCACTTATATACACTGCCATTCCGCCTCATTCCTTAAACTCCCTGTCTCTCCTGAACAGACACACCATCTATACTTGTTTCAGTGTCACTAATATCCGGTCCGAACTAAGTTTCTGTTAGGATTATGATCTTTGGAGTAAGGCAGGACTAGAGAGATCGTGATTCTCTCCATCTTACTTCAAAGTCTTTTCACATTACTGCACAGACACCTGGATATGTGTCCAACGGTATAGGGTGTCTTGGTGGAGGCAGGCTGAAGCGAACCGTGCACAATGGCGAAATTTGCTACAGGACGGCCAGCTCCATCTGAACCGGACCGAACACGCTTTTTCTCACAGCGGTTTCTGAAGATTTCACGGTGTCTAGGCTGGTTCGGATATGTTGTCTGTCGACAAAGATGGTGACTTCAGCGCTTGTGGGGTTGCCGTTTGCTGTTGTCGCTGTGTCTCGGGCCTGCTTTAACGGAAGCGAACGTTCCCCGTGATGTCGTTGTACCGCTTATCAGGTCTTCAGTACTTTGGTTAAAAGCCCTCGACACCCGAAGTTAATAGCCATCAACCTGGGTGATGTTATCGACTTTGAGTGTGAGGGAAGTGGCGGTCTGCAGAACTCCGCTATCCCATTTAAACCTATTTTTGCTGATAACCACTGCCACCGCTGAACGTCGTGAGCATACTCCTCTACTAATGTGGCAGTTGTTAGTTCCATGTAGTGAACAACCATGGTTGCCAATTTCAACGTGTGAGGTGCCTCGTGTTATACTTTTCTCGCCGACCACCTCCAGTCTGGCCCGGTTCTAATGCCGGATGCCCGGTTGATGACTGGTGTGTAGGACAGTGACAGGAATCTTTCCGCCTCTTTAGCCGAGTGCAGGGTCACTCTCACCCGTGGAGGCTTTCCCCTGGGTGAGCTACTGCCTTCATGGAGACGGCATAGCTTTGCTTCTAAAGTGCCCAGTCTTGGTATGGCGAATGCCGTTTGCCACTGCTGTTTGTCAAAAGACTCTGTTCTCAAGAAGGCTATCACGCATACAGGGACGTTAAATAGGATTATGGAATTTGATTTGTCACCGACATCTCGATTGTCGTGTACTATGGGTGGGTTTTTAAGAGAAGGGTGGGCCTTCTTTTCCACCGTGACCCGCTTTTCCCGGTGTACGGCGGGGTAGTCGTTAAAGTGACTTCATAGCTAGGGACTAATGTCATTGGTCACATGCCCGGTTGTCGTTTGGGTCTTTTTGGATCATTCACGGGTGTGACTGTCCGGGGACGGTGCTGACGCTCCCGTTGCCTGGGCTTGGGGTGGTGGTCTGTGATGGTGTGGCACCATGGTAGCCACCGAGGTGTCCTTTATGACCTTCCTAAGAGAGCCTTTAGAAAAGAGTGACCCTCCACGGCACTATAGGCGGATGTACTAGAACCACATGCAAGGGGAGCGCTCCATGAAGGAGTAATATCTAGCGGTGAGTTCGTAACTTGCGTTACATTTACACTCGATCTGTTAAATGATAACTTTAAAGTTACCAATCGTTTGACTCAGTACTTTTGAACACCAAAAGTACCTGACTGCCAAACAGAGCACTTATCATCTGTGCTATCGAATCATCGTCCCCCTTGGGATCAGCCATTGGACACTGTTCCAGCCATTCACTTGTCTGTGTAACAAGCTAGTCGACTGTGATCCTTCTGTCAGTTACTTTGCTGAAGCACACTTCCCTGGTGAGATACCTACCCCAGAGAATCCAAACACTAACATATTAATGGGACGCAGTAAGGCGAAAAGATCTCGAACAGATAGCTTGTACAAGAAAAATGAATGCTCCACAGATCTGCTCGAAACACAGTCTCAAAACTCTCCAAAAAGGTCGCAAACTCCTTTTGCAGGCATAACTGACGTTGTCACGGATCTCGGCAACTTAGAAACTTCCAATGCAGTCAAAATTACTGAGCTTAATACAATGCCAACCGAAGTCTGCACTGCACTCAAGCAGCTCGCTCCCATAACTTGTCTTTTTGGTCTACACAGAG